GGCTGAGAGAGAGTGACTGGCCCAAGGTCACCCAGCTGGCTTTGTGCCTAAGGTGCGACTAGAACTCATAGTCTCCCAGTTTCTAGCCTGGTGCCTTAAGTGTGGTTAAAACCCTAATGCCAAAATAAAAACTAATTTGAATGTATTCAATTGCTTCAGGAATGTGTATGCACTAAACACACACACACGCAGAGCTGGCCATTATTGCCTCATAATGCCAAATGTTTTCACTTTATTGACATATGTAGAATTGAAAAATCAGGGTTGTTCACTAGACTGGAAATTGAAAAACATCCCTGAAGAAGGAAATAGGAAGTCTCCTTGCTGACAAGAAAATTACATGGATGTAATCACAAAGACTCAACCAGACACAAGAGCTTCTTTATCTTTTTAAAGAATGGAATAAATGCTGCTTTCCTTACATCTAAGAGAACAGTCTATATGTTTATCATACAGAAAGCATAATTCTGTTTTATCCAAGATAAATAAAGGTTCAGATAGGCTGAGCATCCATTTGAATTTTTGGATGTAATTAAAAGAACCTTAGAAGTCTACTAACCAATTTATGAACCAAAACAATACAAAACAATGGAAAGTTTAGAGGGAAAATATATAAGATTCTTTGAAAAATCAGTGTTGTGGAAAAATGTACCAGAATTGGCATTCCCCTTGGAAGTGAGTGGTCATTAGACTTTGCTATATTATATAATACACTATCCAGAATGGATTCAAAAAGTGAAATGGAGTTCTCAAATGACATGATTCATTCTTACCAGATGTTTAACAAGCTTCCCTCTCCCCTATTTTTTTTGCCCAATCCTACATGGGCATAAATCAGGAAGTCTACTGAGCTTCTAGTGAACAGCTAGACATGGCTGAAGGGCTGCTTTTGACGTGATGGATTACAACTAATACAACAATGGTATTAATGCCATTGCTAACTTTAAGTGAAGGGACAAGTGTTCCTCTTTGCATATGATGTAATGATAGTAAATCATATTATTGATTTGATTCATCTACTATACATTCCAAATGTGATAATTCTTTACAGGCTGCTTACATGCAATGCATAGCAGATGATAAGTCGTACAATATTGCTATTGTTAGCAGCAATTATTGCATTCTGTATTTGTCCAATGGGCTATTTAAATGCACTCACACACATATACACATGCATAAGTGCATGTGTGTATGTATGTATATAGTTCTTTTTTAAATGGAAATCTCACATAACATTTGCTTAAAGTTGTTTTTTACTGTACATTGTGGCATATTAATCTATTAATATACATTTGGCATATTAATATTACTCCTAATGTTAGATTATTTTACTAGAAAAGGGTAGCTTGGTTGGTTGGTTGGTCTTACTGTAAATCACAATCATAAATCATATTATTATTTTATCTGTCTACTTTTCTTAGGACAATTCAATCTGGATAACAAACTACAATAATTCTTAAACAATGGAGCATTAATAAAAGAACAAGAACAGGGCACAGTTTAGCACTCTCCAGCCTAGAAGTAATGTCTTGGGAAGCTTTAGAAAGAGTTGCCTTCAGCTTGCACAAGTTCTTTGTACCGAACAACCGTGCCATAAATGAGAGAATATGGGCAGAGAAGTGCCTTGATCAGAGCTATAGTAGAGTTTAGAGTACTCCATCTGCAGGTGGAGACAAACTGTTCTGTCACTCCAGGTGCAAGGGACCATGAGCCGTGGCTGTACAGAAATGGCTCTTTGGATAAGGGTTAGAAGTCCTCTTGAGTTTGGCTCATCTACCTACTGAGCTAAAGAGAAAAAAATGATTACTTGAAAAATAATCACTGCCCTTGGTTTGAATCTTGTACTAAGTTTCTAGGAAAGCCCACTGCCCTCACAGCTCCAGAATGAAAGGGAATGAGCAGTCTTCAAGAATGAAAGGTAATCTATTGTCTCCCCATTTGCTTATTCAGCTGAACTACGTACAGTGGTACCTCGGGTTACTAACGCCTCTGTTAATGAACTGTTCGGGTTACGACCAGCTCCGGCCGCAAAAATTTACCTTGGTTTGCAAACTCCGCCTCGGGGTATGAACAGGATACGCGGCCATTTTCCCTCCCGTGACACGGTCTGCAACCATTTTTCCGCCCCTGACACGTGGTCCGTGGCCATTTTCCGCCCGATACATGGTTCACGGCCATTTTCCCGCCCGACACGTGGTCCGTGGCCATTTTCCA